CCTTGGGAGGCTGAGGTGAGTGGATTGCCTGAGCCCGCGGGTTCGAGATGCACCTGGGCAACTTGGTGAGACCTCATCTCTACAATAAATCAAAAAATTAGCTGGGCGTGGTAGTGTGGGCCTGTAGTTCCAGCTACTTGGAAGGCTGAGGCAGAAGGATCACCAGAGCCCAGCAGGTCAAGGCTGTGGTGGCCAGGAGTGGCCACTGCACTTCAGTCTGGGCGACAGAGTGAGACTCCAACTCAAAAACAAAGCAAAACAAAACAAATAGATGCCAGACATGGTGGCTCAAGCCTGTAATCCCAGCACTTTGGGAGGCCAAGGCGAGAGGATTGCCTGAGCTCAGGGGTTCAAGACCAGTCCGGGCAACTTGGTGAGACCTCGTCTCTACAATAAATTAAAAAATTAACTGGGCATGGTGGCGCACACCTGTAGTTCCAGCTACTTGGGAGGTTGAGGTGGAAGGACTGCCTGAGTCCAATAGGTCAAGGCTGTGGTGGACATGAGCATGTCACTGCACTCCAACCTGGGTGACTGGGCAAGATTCCCAGCTTAAAAAAAAAAAGTGAGGCTCGGTGGCTCAGCCTGTAATCCCGTGCCTTTGGGAGGCTGAGGTGAGTGGATTGCCTGAGCCTGCGGGTTCAAGACCCGCCTGGGCAGGCGAGACCTCATCTCCAATAAATAAAAAAAATTAGCCGGGCGTGGTAGAGTGTGCCTGTAGTTCCAGCTACTTGGAAGGCTGAGGCGGAAGGATCGCCGGAGCCCAGCAGGTCGAGGCTGCGGTGGCCGGGAGCAGCCACTGCACTCCAGTCTGGGCGACAGTGAGACTCCAACTCAAAAGAAATAAAAATAAAAAAATAAAAAAGCAAATAGAGACAAGGCCTCATTATGTTGCTCAAGCTAATCTTGAACTGGCCTCAAGTGATTCTCCCACCTCAGTCTCCCAAAGTGCTGGAATGAAAGGCACGAACCACCACACACTGGTCCACATTTTTTTTTGAGTCAGGGTCTCACTCTGTCATCCAAGCCAGAGTGCAGTGGCATGATCATGGCTCACCACAACCTTGACCTGCTGGGCTCTGGTGATCCTCCCGTTTCAGCCTCCCAAGTAGCTGGGACTACAGGCGTGCACCATCATGCCTGGCTAGTTTTCTTGTTTTATTGTGAATATGAAGTCTCCCATGTTGGCCAGGCTGGTCTCGAACTCCTGGACTCAAGTGATCCTCCTGTCTCAGCCTCCCAAAGTGCTGGAATTCCAGGCGTGAGCCACCGCATCCAGCCCTGATGCCTTGATCTTAGACTTTCAGCCTCCAGACCATGAGAAAATAAATGTACTTTGTGGATGCCACATGGTCTGTGGTACTTGGTCATAACAGCTCTAGCAAGTGGACATGCCGTCCTGGGGTAGGGACGTTCTTTCTGACTGAGCCCTGGGAGAGGCCACAGGAGGGACCTTTGGAAGCTTACAGACCCACCCAGACTCACCTCAGGTTCTGTAGTTTGCAGTTGGGGTGTTCGAGTCCCTGACACAGCAGCTTCACCCCCCGACTGCCCAGGGCATTACGGTACAGAGCCAGTTCTATCAGGTTGGGGTTGGTGCAGAGGGCCGCTGCCAGGTGCTTGCTGTAGGTGTCCAGGAGAATGTTCCTCTCTTCCCTGCATTAGGAAAACACAGGCCCAAAACCTAGTTTATTTATTTATTTATTTGAGTTGGAGTCTCACTCTGTCACCCAGGCTGGTGTGCAGTGGCACACCTACTGGCCACCACAGCCTCCACCTGCTGGGTTCAGGCAATCCTTCCATCTCAGCCTTCCAAGTAGCTGGAACCACAAGCACACATCACCACACCTGGCTGATTTTTTGATTTATTGTAGAGAGTAGGTCTCGCCAAGTTGCCCAGGCTGGTCTTGAACCCCTGGGCTCAGGTAATTCTCTCCCCTCTGTCTCATGCCACTGAATTCCAGCCTAGACAACAGAGTGAGATCCCAACTTAAAAAAAATATTTGTCAGCCAGGCGTGGTGGCTCATGCCTATAATTCCAGCACTCTGGGAGGCGGAGGTGAGATGCTGTGGTGGCTGTGAGCATGCCACTGCACTTCAGCCTGGGTGACAGAGTGAGACTCCAACTCAAAATATATATAAATATGTTGAATACATACATCCTCTTTGTCATTGAGTGGTTTTTTTTGAGTTGGAGTCTCGCTCTGTTGCCCAGGCTGGTGTGCAGTGGCACACCTACTGATCACCACAGCTTCCACCTGCTGGGCTCAGGCAATCCTTCCACCTCAGCCTTCCAAGAAGCTGGAAACACAGGCACACGCCACCATGACTGGCTGATTTTTTAATTTATTGTAGAGATGAGGTCTCGCCAAGTTGCCCAGGCTGGGCTCGAACCCCTGAGCTCAGGCAATTCTCTAGCTCCCGCCTCCCAGAACGCTGGGATTACAGGCATGAGCCACTGGGCCCAGCCCTGAGTGTTGTTTAAGAGCTGAATTCTCAATGTCCCATTGACATTTTGGGGCCAGATCATCTCTGTGGGGGACTGTCCCACACACTGTAGGGTATATGTCGCATCTCTGGCTTCTACTCACTAGATGTCAGCAGCGTCCTCTTCTCCCCAGCTGTGACAACCAAAAAAAAAAAAATCCCCAGATATTGCCAATGGTGTCTTTGGGAGAGAAGGGAAGACCCCACTTGGCCTCAGAACAAGCCCGGAGAGCCGGGCCTGGCAGACACTTACAGCGGTGGCCCTGGCAGTGTCTGGGGTCCCGACGTCCCTCTCCCCTCATCCTTCTCGTCTTCGCTGTAGGAGGCCCCGTACAGGTGCAGCACCAGGATGCTCTTGCAGTTCTTCACGCAGTATGAGGCCACCATGTGTTCCATCTGGGAGGCGACGTCGCTGACCACGACCACTTGGAAATGGCTCAGGGCCTGCCGGACGAAGCCCTCCTCCTGGGTCTCGTACAAGCAGCCAAGAAGCTCCAGGGCGCCCTGCTGCAGGGTGGCGCCCTCGCTGCGGGCTTTGCTTTGGATGCAAGCCAGGAGTTCCTCCCGGAGGTGAGGCGAGACCTTCCAGCAGAGACCTTTCTCCAAGCAGGTGCTGGTTTCCTCATTCAGGAAACCGAACAGGAAGCGCACGGTGAGCGCCAGGAAGCTTCTTCCCGAAAACCCATAGTCGGCCAGCAGCCTGGCCACACTGGGATCAGGGCCAGACCCAGACTCCCCGCCCCCGTCTAGGACGTAGTACACGGCCGCGAAGAACTCCTGGAAGCTCAGGTGGATAAAACTATAATACTTCTTGCAGTGGATATCCTTCTGGAAGATGTTCATGTTGAGAAAGGCGGACACGTCCGCCCCGTCCAGGCCGTGTCTCCGGAGATCCTCCTCGTCAAAGAGCATCTTCTGACCCCAGAGCCCGTCGGCGGCCAGGGAGCACAGGCCCCTCTGGTTGAGTGGGGGCCGGGGGGGCGGCGTCCCCGGCTTGGGCCGCATCAGGCTCAGGAGGTAGAGGGTGTACACCGCCGTGGTGGTCCCGGACGTCTGTCTCAGCAGCCCCCCGCCCTCCAGCTGCTGCTTGAGACAGGTGCACACGACCCAACACACCATGGGGACAAAGCACATGGCCAACAGGGGCTCGTTGTGCTTCACCAAGCTGAAGGCGTGGCCGGCCCTCTCTGCGTCCTCGAAGAACTTGTGGAAGTACTCACGCCGCTCTGCCTCAGAGAAGCCCAGGACCTCCACGTGCCTGGGATGCTCTAACAGACGGTGCAGCTTGTCCAGGGCCGTGGGTCGCGTGGTGATGAGCAGAGACAGCTCAGGCAGCAGCCTCTTCCGGATCAGGCTGCCCAGGAGAAGCTCTGTGGGCCGTCTCTCCTCCCAGCACAGGCAGCACGGGCCCTGGGGGTCGTGGAAGGACGGCTTGAGCTCGTCGAAGCCATCCACAATGAACAACAGGCGTCCAGGGGCCTGGAGTGGCTCTGTGATGGGCGCGCCAGGCTCAGGCCAGCAGCCGGAGATCAGGTCCCGGACGCTGCGCTCAGCTGCACTCTGGTTCAGCTCCCTGCAGTTGATGTAAAAGAGATAATCGAATCGGCCCCGGAAGAGCTTCCCGTCGGCCCAGTCCAGCATCAGCTTGTGGGCCAGCATGGTCTTCCCGATGCCGGCCGCCCCCTGCAAGACCACAGTGTGCGGGGGCTCCGGCCGCTCTTCATCCGGCTCGAAGAGGGTCTCCATCTGGATGGGGCTGGCCTGGGGGCCCGCAGTCCTCCCAGGTCCCTGGCCCATGTCCAGGAGCTTCTGCTGGGCCCGCATGGGGCTGGAGTGTCCCTTCACCAGCACGAGCTGGGTGTAGCGGTGGCTGAGGTTGACACATTCTCCCAGGCGGGCATTGCGGTCTTCCATCAGCCGGAATTTCCTGCGGATGTAGTCTCTGTAGGCTTCCTGGGGGTCTGGGGAAGGGGAGGGAAGGGACCATGGGACACTCATCAGCAACCCTGGATGAAGTCACAAGTCAAAGCAAACCATGGGCCAGGCGTGGTGTCTCACGCCTGTAATCCCAGCACTTCAGGAGGCCAAGATGGGAGGATATCTTGAGGCTGGAAGTTCAAGACCAGCCTGGGCAATATAGCAAGACCCCATCCCCATCACTATTATTATTTTTTTTTTATTATGTCTGTGTGTGTGTTTTGAGTCGGAGTCTCACTGTTGCCCAGACTGGAGTGCAGTGGCACGCTCCTGGCCACCATAGCCTCGACCTGCTGGGATCAGGTGATCCTTCTGCCTCAACCTTCCAAGTAGCTGGAACTACAGGCACGCGCTATCATGCCCAGCTAAGAGTGTGTTTATTTTTAGAGACAGGGTCTCATTGTGTCACCCAGATGGGAATACCGTGGTGCGATAATAGTTCACTACAACCTTGAACTCCTGGACTCAAAAGCTCCTCCCACCTCACCTCCCAAGTAGCTGAAACTACAAGTATACACTAGTGTACCCAGCTAATTATCATCATCATTATTATTATTGTAGATATGCGGTCTCACTATGTTGCCTGTGCTGGCCTTTTTTTTTTTTTTGAGTTGGCTTCTGACTCTGTCACCCAGGTTGGAGTGCAGTCTTTGTGTTTTTATTTATTTAGTTGTTTGTTTATTTATTTATTTATTGAGTTGGAGTCTCACTCTGTCACCCAGGCTGGAGTGCAGTGGCACACTCATGGCCACTGCAGCCTTGACCTGCTGGGCTCAGGCAATCTTTCCACCTCAGACTTCCAAGTAGCTGGAACTACAGGTATGTTCCACCATGCCTGGCTAATTTTTTGATTTATTGTAGAGACAAGGTCTCGCCAAGTTGCCCAGGCTGGTCTCAAACCCCTGGACTCAGGCAATCCTCTTGCCTCATCCTCCCAAAGTGCTGGGATTACAGGTGTGAACCACTGCACCCAGCCTAGACTAATTATTTTTATTTTGTAGATACTGGCTCTCACTATGTTGCCCAGGCTGATCTCAAACTAGGCTCAAGGACTCTTCCCGCCTCAGTCTTCTAGAATGCTAGGATTACGGTGTAAGCCTCCGGGCCCAGTTCGTTGATAGAATTATCATATGATCTAGCAATTCCACTCCTGGGCACGCACCCAAAAGATTCCACGTAGCCTAGTCCATCCCAACCGGTGCTAACCTGTGGCTCACCTTTTCTTGAAGTGCCCAGGGAGACTTCCAGAGGGCGTGCTGACTGACTCTCAAGTGACGGTGGGCCCCCAGGTGGCGAATCTGGAAGAGAAATTTTGGAAGATCAGCCAGTGCATATCTGGCTATTAGCTACTACTATTACTAAAACACCTATGTAACTCCCTGTCCATCCACCCCTAGAATGTTCTGTGGTCACTGCACATGCCTTGGAATGGAAACTGAGTTCAAAACCCACGCTCTTTCCTGGGTCCGCATCCCGGTGACCAGCACCTCCATCCATCCATGAATCCCCTCGGCCAGGAAGTTCCCTCTGCAGCCTTCAGCCACATCCCACCCATCATTCATTCAACAAGCACATTGGGGCTAGGGGTAGTGGCTCCTGCCTGTCATCCCAGCACTTTAGGAGGCAGAGGTGAGAGGATTGCCTGAGCCCAGGGATTTGAGACCAACCTGGGCAACTTGGCAAGACCATGTCTCTACAATAAATTTTTTAAAAAGTAGCTGGGTGTGGTGGTGTACACCTGTGGTTCCAGCTTCTTGGAAGCTGAGGTGGAAGGATGCCCTGAGCCCAGCAAGTCAAGGTTGCAGTGGCTGTGGCTGTGAACGTGCCACTGCACTCCATTCTGGGCAACAGTGTGAGACTCCGACTCAAAAAAACCCCTAAAAACCAAAGAAATAAAAAAAATTAGCCAGGCATGGTGGCACATGCCTGTAGTTCCAGCTACTAGGAGGGCTGAGACAGAAGGATCGCTTGAGTCCAACAGGTCAAGGCTGCGGTGACCGTGTGTGTGCCACTGCACTCCAGCCTGGGCAAAAAAGCCAGCCTTCAAAAAACAGAGACTGGGGGCAGTGGCTCATGCCTACCAACCTGGGCAACTTGGCTAGATCTCGTCTCTACAATAAATCCAAAAGTTAACCGGGTGCAGTGGCTCATGCCCCGGCACTCTGGGAGGTGGAAGTAAGAGGATTGCCTGAGTCCAGGGGTTCAAGATCAGCCTGGGCAACTTGGCAAGACTTTGTCTCTACAATAAATCAAACAATTAGCCAGGTGTGGTGGTGTGCACCTGTACTTCCAGCTACCTGGAAGGCTCAGGCAGAAGAATCGCCTGAGCCCAGCAGGTTGAGGCTGTGGTGGCTGTGAGCGTGCCACTGCACCCCAGACTGGGCGACAGAGTGAGACCCCAAAACAAACAAAACAAAAAACAGAGACCCAGGTCTCCTGGGTGTGGGAATTGTAGTGAAAGACAAGGGCGCTGGTGGTTGCCCTGCCTGTGCCCACCTCCTTACCCCTCACCAGGTCCTCTCTCTGTCCCCTCTCCCACAGGTCTCTTCTGTTGATTCGTTCAAACACACGGAGCGCCAGCTGCCAGGCCTCCTCTGCCCCGAAATGGGCAGTCAACAAGTGGGCCATGTCCAGTGGGCCGGCCAGCTCCATGCGGCCCCAGGGGATGGTGGCCCCTCCCAGCCCGGTCGCTGTCCCCAAGTACAGCTTGAATTTCTTCAGCTCCACGGCCTCGAGCTCTTCCAAGTAGCTGGACAGGCGGCAGAGGCCGGCCCTGGCCGCGGAGAGAGGCATGGGGACGCGCCGAGACTGAGGGAGCCCAGGGTGTCCCTCTGCAGGGAGGCCGGCCAGGTTCCCGCCCACGCCGGAGCTTTCACTGCCGAGGGGAGAGGATGAGGATGAGGGTCGGGAAGACGCGGGGCGTTCTCAGGTTGAGAAACAGGAAGTCGAGACGATGAAGAAATCCCAGGCACCCTTTGACGCTGAGAAGGATTTTCACTTCTTCTTTTTTTTTTGCTTGGAGTCTCACTCTGTCACCCAGACTGGAGTGCAGTGGCACGCTCCCAGCCACTGCAGCCTCGACCTGCTGTGCTCTGGCGATCCTTCCACCTCAGCCTTCC